ATAGATATATATACATATATAGATATATACACACGTCAAATCTAAGGTCTTAGACTGGATCTCGATTGTTTCTTTGATATGTAAATGCTAAAGGTGTTTCCTGATCTATTCTAAACAATCTTCACTTTAATCATATACACATTTTGGATATACTTTAAAATAATGAATGGATTCAATTCCTCATAGTAAATAATTCAAGCTAATCCGCCTTCTAGTAATACCCTGTAAATTTCTAAAGCGATTCTGTGTATTTCGTCTCCTGATGATTTATTAACTATTCTTTTTTTTTTTTTTAGCCACGTGTGTCTGGACATTGAAACTCGTAAGTCGCAAATCTTAGTTTATTTACATTTTGTTCTTGAATCTAAAATTAACTCAGAGAGCTGAACTTTGACAGAATTATTTCCGCATTTGTTGTTAAAAATGTTGTCATCATTTTTTAATCCTATTTATCAGGGTCTAAAATGAAATATGTGAAATGAATACCAAGCCGACTCAAAATATAAAAGATGTTTGGCTTAATGATGACCAGAAAGCAAAACCACAATTTAATGGCCACAATCCACTGAATTAATTGAGCTGAAGCGAATTCCATTTTCATAGAGTTTCATGTTTGGAAGAAATAAAATAATTGCTTTTGTTTTTTTTACAAACTTAATATTTTTTTTTATTGAATCAACTTCTTGTCATCGCCCTAGACTTAGGACTCTCGATCACTGCTTAGAAGCGGCGACGGATGATACGACGCACGGTCTTGTAGCGGTATCCATCATTAGAGATGGGCTCGATCTCCTCCAGAGAGGGCTGGGGGGCCAGCGCTGGTGCGGGGGCGGGARCACGGATGGGAGCCTGAGCGGGAGCGGCAGGAGGGATGTACTGGTTGACCGGAGCCGGGGCTGGYAGAGAGACTGGAGCAACTGGTGCTGGGGCATCAGCTTGGATGGGAGCGGGAGCTGCTGGAGGGATGTACTGGTTGGTTGGAGCCGGAGCAACGTTGATGGGAGCTGGAG